CTTCCTTGTAATCCCTGAGGCTATCAATTTGTTTTCTTTTAAGGCCTCTCTTCTTGGCTTGTAGATGGCCTTTTTCCTTTGCTGTCCTCACATGGTCTTCCCTCTGCCTGTCTGTATCCTAATTTCCTTTTCTTAAAAGGATATCAGTCATATTAGATTAGGACCCACCCATCTGACCACATTTTACTATAATTATTTTGTTATAGGCCTTATCACCAGATACAGTTACATGCTGAGGTACTGGGTGGTTGGGACTTAGCTATATGAATTGGTGGGGGTCAGGGCAGAGTATACATGATTCATCCCTTAAGAGGTGGCAACCTGAGGACCCAGCACAGTGATTTTTTCCAAGGGTCTGTGCCTGTCTGGAGAAGGTGAGTGTTCCGTTGAGTCATAGCTCTAGAAAAAAATTCTAGATGAAGAATACTTGGTCCTGATATCTAGGAAAAAAAATACTTTGTCCTGATTTCTGAATAGAACTCACTAGGACTCAGCCTGATTTTTCTTTTTATTTTTAGGCTAACTAGAAAAGTCAATATTTAGCACCTATTTTTTCCTCACATTTGAATATCCAGTGCTTAGCTTACAGTCTGTATCAGGAAATCGTTGTTGAATTGAATACTAGTGATTTGCCTATATGCAGAGGCAGCATGCCTCAGAAAATTATCACAGTTTCATTCACCCCAAAAGGAAACGTCTTGTCTTTTCCATGGTCTTTTATGGAGATTGAAGGCACATTTTTATGGTCTCAGGATTCTTAGACTGAACTCTTTCTAATGTCTACATTCTTCTGTTACAGTAGTATATTTCTTTATAAACCATAATATTTATGGCCACTGTTCCCTGAGTTGCTTATTATATTGTGCATTATTTTTGCTCCTCAGACTTTTTTATTCTTTGGAAGAACATAGGCCTAATTTCCTTAGACATAGATCTCAAAACTGATTTGATAACTAAATATGGTACAGTTTGTGTTATGGAAGAACAATAAATAAAATATTCAGCATAATTTTTTTAATTTTTGTTTTTAGTTATTTCAGAATATTCCATTTCTTAAAAGTATTTTTAGTCATAAGACCTTGATTGGTTAAGGGAGTTTCCCATTACACATGTACATGTAAATAGACTTTTTTCACAAACACCACAGAATAATTTATGATAATTAAACATGGGGCTATGAAATAGTTTTCATATATGCCAGCAATTTGTGGTTTCAAAAAGCTACTTCTCTAATTGGAAATCCATTTTTTGATGAAGAAAAGTAATTTATATTTAAATCTAAATTAGATTAAATTTAGATTTATTTTTGTAATTAGTGGAAAAATTTATTCTTATAAAATATAGTAGTTAAAAGATAATGTTTCATCTGTTTTCTTTTTAGTTTTTCTTTTCCCCTCCTTGACTAGAATTCTTACTTTTGTTAGTGCTGTTTGCTCGATTTGTTTTTCTTTAAGTGCTTTAACAAGTCAAAAACTCTATGATAAAATGAAAATTATTTCTCTTCCTTCTAACTACCCTTGTTTACCAGCCCGGGGTTGCTCTTCACATTTAGTAAGAGCCCTGCTCTTCTACTACCTCAATCAATTGTGTATGGGCTGCTTGATCATTCTAAGAATGCTTGATCATTCTGAAGTAAGGAAGGTTGTAAGTTTCTAGAAAACAAATACTTCGCTTCTGTGGACCTTCCATTGTCTAGCACAGGACTGAATCAAGGTTTCATGAAAGAGGGACATCTAGAACATGCCCTACTCTTTTCTTAATAACTAGTGGCAAGGTAGAAGGAAAAAAGACACTATAGAATAAATGTTGATACCAGATGGTAAGAAAAACCCATATTTATACTAAAATTGTACAGAATGTGCTACCATATTCATGCTCTGCATTTTAGACAAACTAGAAGATGCTTGAAATAAATAAATGGAACCTAATCAAACTTACAAGCTTTTGCACAGCAGAGGAAACCATAAACAAAACACAAGGACAACCTGTGAAAGGGGAGAAAATATTTGAAAATATTGCAATCTAAGCTTAATTTCTAAAGAAAGGAGACCAATTTAAAAAGGGGGGGAGAAGACCTAAGTAGACTTTTCTCCAAAGACGTACAGATGGCCAAAAGACACGAAAAGATGCTCAGCATCACTAATTATTAGAGAAATGCAAATCAGAACTACAAAAAAGTATCACCTCACACTGGTCAGAATGACCATCATTAAAAAGTCTACAAATAACAAATGCTAGAGAGGGTGTGGAGAAAAGGGAACCCTCCTACGCTGTTGGTGGGAATGTAAATTGGTGCAGCTACTATGGAAAATAGAATGGATGATTCCTTAAAAAAACTAAAAATGGAGTTGCCGTATGATCCAGCAGTCCTGTTGCTAGGCATATATCTGGAGAAAACTCTTAATTCGAGGAAATAACATGTACCCCAGTGTACATAATAGCACTATTTACGGTAGCCAAGACATGGAAACAACATAAATGTCCATTCACTGATGAATGGATAAAGAAAATGTAGTGTGTGTGTGTGTGTGTGTATACACACACATACATACAGTGAAATACTATTCAGCCATAAACAATGAAATAATGCCATTTGCACCAATATAAATGGACCTAGAGATTATCATACTAAGTGAAGTAAGCCAGAGAGGATAAATATATGATATCACTTATATGTGCAATCTCAAATAGGATACAATTGAACTTATTTATAAAACAGACGCAGACTCAGACATGGAACACAAACTTGTGATTACAAAAGGGGGAAAGTGACAGGATGAAGGGAGATGAATGAGGATTTGGGGATCAGCAGATAACAAACTACTATCTATAAAATAAACAACAAAATCCTACTGTATGGCACCAGGAACTATATTCAGTATTCTATAATAAACTGAAGGGAGAAAGAAAGTATATATACTCTGCTTCCATGGTTGTCCACGTGGTAATGCATCTGCCTGCAGTCTGGGAGACTCGAGTTTGATCCCTGGGTCAGGAAACATCCCCTGGAAAAGGGGGTGGCTCCCTACTCCAGTATTCTTGCCTGGAGAATTCCATGAACAAAGGAGTCTGGCGGGCTGTAGTCCATGAAATCTCAAAGAGTTGGACATGACTGAGTGACCAACACACATATATATTCATAGATTCATACACTGTGTAGTTGAATCACTTTGCTATATACCAGAATCTAATACAACATTGCAAATCAACTATACTTAAATTTAAAAAAAAAGATGCTTTGATAATTATTAGTGTATACATTAAAGAATTTCTAGTGTCATGGTTTAAGCACCATTTCACATATACCTATAACTTAGCAACCTAAATAAGGCTAATGTGATTAGCTTGCCAAGGAGAGGTTATATTTAATAAAGAATATGTAAAAAGCTACATCCTGAGCTTTAGTAGGGAGTATGACTCAGAATCTTAATTTTATGGAGTTAATGTTGCTTTATTAATGAGCTAACATAGTAAATTCTGAAGTTATTATGTTAATCAGTTCATTAATAAACAAAGATTTTTGTTTTCGTAACATAAAGATTAATGGCTGTTAATTAAAATTAAACCTATTTTGTACATTAAAGTACAGACTAATAATGTTGATAAACTTGTCATTTTGTCTCAAGCAGTACTTTAAAAAGCAAAGCTTAGTATAATTTTTTTTGTTAGAATGTTTTTAGACATGATTAAGTCATTTTATTTTGGCCCCTAATCAGCCTCCTAAGGTGTAATGAGAAATCTATTTCAATATATAAGTTTACTCTTCAGTTTTGTTGTTTGTTTAAGCAGAACTTTCTGTCAGTGGATGTGCCTGATTGTCTTAAGCTTGTTTAGCCCACCTGGTCTCTTTGGAAGCCCAGTCCCAGGTTCCACATTTACTCTTGCACCATCATTGTTGTCTTCTTTGCAGGGCCCTCATACAGGGCTCACAGGCTTCTACCTGTCCCAGCCTTACCAGTTCTGTGAGGTCCCTGAAGCCTCCTCTGATTCTTCCATTTCATGCTGTCGTTCTCTGTACCCCACAGCTTTGCCTTTGGATTGCAGTTTCTGTTGCATTATTTCGTGTCTTGCATCTCAACAAAATTGTTTGCTCCTAGAGCAGATAGCATGCAGTTGGCCACAGAGCCATTACATACCGGCATTGTACTGCCTTGTGTTACTTTCCTTGATTTTTAAAAAATCACTTGAAGAAAGTATGGATAGAAAGTTGATAGGCTCATTCTGCCCATAGCAAGTCCCTGGTCATAATGTCCCCTTCACGACCCCTAGGATGTCATCTGGACATCTTGGGAGCAAAAGGTGTCCTTCGTGATTTGGGATTGCTCAAGTGTTTGATAAGTGGGGATCCCCTCCTTTCATCCACAAACTTGGTTCCATATTAAATGACCTTTCAGTACTATTATAGTTTCTGAAGCTATAGTTTGTAAAGCCAACCTCTCTTGGTTTCTTAAAGCTGCAGTGTCATGGAACTATACTTGCTAAAGCAGGTGTGGGGTTGGGTGTTGTTGGGCAGATAATGGAAGCTCAGACCTCTAAAGCATATTTATGTGACCCAGAACATCTCTTCTTTCTAGAAAACTGCTGGTTGAATAATGTTATTTCTAAAATTCATTTTACTAGTTGAATTTTTCTGTTGTTGTTTAGTCACTAAATCTTATCCAGCTCTTCATGACTCCATGAACTATAGCCCACCAGACTCCTCTGTCTATGGAATTCTTCAGGCGAGAATAGTGGAGTAGGTTGCTATTTCCTTCTCCAGGGATCTTCCTGGCCCAGGGCTTGAACCTAGGTCTCCTGCAGTGCAGGTGGATTCTTTACCACTGAGCCACCAGGGAAGCCCAGCTAGTTGAATTAGAGAACCAGAATTCAACATGCACTATTTTTTCCCCCCTATAGAGAAGAGAAGATTAAAGTTAAGGAGGGAAGTAATTAAATACTATCTACACTCACAGAATATTTGCTAATAATACATACTATATTCTTTTTGTTGTTTTCCCTAGGTGATTGAAGACAATACCGGAGTCCGCCGGGTGGTGGTCACACCCCAATCTCCTGAGTGTTACCCCCCAAGCTACCCCTCGGCCATGTCTCCAACCCATCATCTACCCCCCTACCTGACTCACCACCCACATTTTATCCATAACTCACACACAGCATACTATCCACCTGTTACTGGACCTGGAGATATGCCACCTCAGTTCTTTCCTCAACATCATCTTCCTCCCACAATATACAGTGAGCAAGGTGAGTCGATTGCTGGCATCTGGAGCTGTTGGAACTGGTTACAAAACTGAAGTAGCTTTAGAGAGCCACAGAGCCTTTGTTTCTTCTGCAATAAGCATGGTAGAGGAGGATCTATCTGCTGTGTAAAGCTCATTGGAAATTCCTAGCTTTCTTTGTCCTCAAGTTATATCTTGAGACTCTTTATATTTTTTCAAATTCTATCCCTATCCCACCCCACAGAGCGCAGGTAGTGGGCAAACCACTTTTTATTTCAGAAAAGATGCAGTAATCTATCATATGTTTCCATGTCCTGTTAACATATTTTTATATGAGAGTGGCCTGAGCCAGAGCTACAGCACATGAGTTCTTAGGCATCCATATGGTCAAGCAGTAGAAGGGAAATTACAAATGATTTTGTGCTGCATTTCCAGTGATAGAAGACTGGGAGGTCTCAGTAAACTTTTGAGTTTCCTGGATGCTCTTTTGCTATCTTGGCATAACTCAAAATCCTCTCACTGTTGACATGATCTTCCTGAGTGCTGTTTTTAGTTTGAGAATAGCTATTAGTGCAGCCACAATTTCACTGTTTGTTAGGCAGATACTTACCTTGAAATGAAAAGAGTCTCAGAGATACTGGCATTATGTCTTGTTAGTTTTGGCATTGATATTGGTTTAATCTGAAGCCCTTCTCTGTCAAAATGGATACTAAGAAGCCAGATAAGTGAGGGTAAAATTAGACTTTAAACACTAGAACTTTGCAAAGTAATTTTCTTCTGTGTCTGACTATGAATTGCTTCAAACATTTATTATGTTGGTTTATAGATAAAGTGTATGGGAAATGTCTTCTTATTTTGGAGGATGTTATTACCTTACTTTCATTGATTTTATATATATATAAAATAAATATATATATGTGGCTCTTTTAAGTGAAATTGTCAGTATCCTATTTTAACTTAGGGATAGAATTTAATTTTTTTTTCCGCAGTAGCATTTAGAAAGAAATTTAATATAATTCAAAAGGCTTAAATGCTATTATAATAGGGTACAGAGAGGTGACAGCAAAAGACAAAATCAATACTTTAAATGCATAGAGGCGTCAATAACTTCCTATTGCTGTAGTCTTCTTGCCTAGTAACATAACACTCCAGAACATCAGACACAGGGCATAATCCATGAAAATATTTTGATAAAAACTGAAAAATTTCAGTTAGTTAAGAATAGTTTTTAAAAACATATTCAGTACTCGTACAGTACACATTAAATATTTGAGTACTTGTCAGTTTTCTAGTTGGGTCTGAGCTTAGTGACAGTGTGAAAAGTCTTGGCTGTTGATCATTACTTGATGAAGAATGTATGACCTGCTTTATTTTAACAGTCTTTAGTAGCATGCCACACAATTACTGTTTTGTGAATGGTGTCTTTTGTAATTTTACACAATAGCATGATTAAAGTTATTAGAATTAAGCAAAAAAAAAAACCTTTTCTTCATTGAATTAGGGTGTTTTGACTTATTTTCATTAAAATAACACAGAACAATAATGTCAAATAAATGAAAGTGCTGTCTTCATTGATTCCTAATTAAACAGAAACAAAAATCTTTTGCTTTGTAAATAAAAAGCCTTTTATATGTTCTTGTACCTTAGTTCTCAGTGTGTATGCACCTAAAAGTAATTGAGACATTTAGTTTCCCAAACTGTATGCATTTTTAAAGTTCTTGATGTTTTAAAATATTACTCAACCAGTACTCCTGGTGAATATTTTAAGTCTCACGTGTAATATCTTGAGATATTTAAAGCCTTTACCATTCTTTTTCTGTGTTTAAACATAATTTACTTGGGCATGCACTCTGTGAATAGAATTGTGTTTCTCTAGTAAAAATTGGTTATCTTGTAAGATTTGCTTTTTTAAGGTCTTTCTCAAGCTATGTGAACAGAAAGAAAATGAAAAGTGGAGCTTTACCATTCAACAGTTGAAACGTCGGTTGTTCAGTTATGTAGGGTGACTTTACATTGCTGATGTGCCTAGAACAGTGCTGGTTTAGGTCTTGTGTCCAGATAAGTAATTAGAAGTGTTCCCTAGTTACCCTCAGAAGTGTCTGGATTTGGATGGTAATTTATATGATCCCTCTGTGCATGTGGGGCCTTTTTTTTTTTTTGTTATAAACATGTAAGGACCCAGTATCTATGTTCTTTATTATCATTTTTATTAGTATCTAAATATGATTTTTAATTGCTTAAAAAATATAATTTTAAAATAGGTGTTTTCCCCTCAGATCATAAGATTATTTCACAGGCTTCCATTTTCTTCTGAGCCATGTAAAAATATGGATAGTGAAGCCAGGTGACATTCTACTGGTGGGTGTGTCTTGTCTGCTGATTACCCCAGAATACAAGTTTAAGACAATAGATGGTTATGTCTGGCGCCAGGTTGCAAAGGTGGCTTATATATAGCTCTATAATCTCTTGAACATTTCCCTTAATTCTGTGAGCTTTGATTATTTTTAATGGAAATTTCTCACCTCTTCATTATAGTAGATTTTGTTCAAATGTTGGCTGTTCTAGATGGCACAAATAACCTCTTATATTCTTGTTGCTGTATATTTTCCAGTAGAAATATTCTGTCTGTAAGAATAAGCATACATTTAAATGTTTTGATTCTGAGGACTTATTACTTAAGGGGACATTTGTTAATTCTTTTTTTTGTAGATTGCAACTACTAAGAACAATTGACAGGCAGAATCAAGCTTAATTATATGTTCAATTAGAATATGAACTCTTGATAGAAAAGACTTTAATATTTTCCTTAATCTCTGCACATTTCTGAACACACAATATAATTTTTTTTAATGATTAATTATTCCTTTATTGGTTAGAAATGAATGGGAGTATTTTAAACATGTATAATATGCATACCACTCTCCTAAAAATATTTTATACTGTCTTTACTGTAAAATATGTTAACTTCTTCCTTCAGGAGACAGGTCATTTGACCACGCAAGACTCTACTGTTGAAGATGTAGACTGAATTTGCGTTTCTCCTAACCATTCTTTCAGAAATCATACCACTCTATGGAATGTCGAGTTACATCACCCGAGAAGACCAGTATAGCAAACCTCCGCACAAAAAGCTGAAAGACCGCCAGATTGACCGCCAGAATCGCCTCAACAGCCCTCCTTCTTCAATCTACAAGAGCAACTGCACCACCGTGTACAACGGCTACGGCAAGGGCCATGGCGGCGGCGGCGGCGGCGGCGGCGGGGGAGGTGGCAGCGGCGGCGGGCCGGGCGTTAAGAAAGCCGAGCGGCGGGCCAGAAGCAGCCCGAAGGCGAATGATGCAGACTTGCAAGGTAATGTTCAGAGAAGTTTGCCATCAAGAGTGAATTATGAGTTTTACAGAAGTTTATATCATGGCAGTTGGTCTTTCTTCTGGGAATGATAGGGTAGACCTTCTCTTTATCTTTGCTTAGCAAGAACAGGATATTGTATCACCTCTTTTTTATTGCTGCTTCATGACAGATATATTATTTCTTTGGCCACGTGGGCCATGTAACAGTCTACTTAATCTCAGTAACAACTCTCTGAAAGTGTTTTCACATTGGCTTACTTCTGTTGTGTCATTTAACTAGACAGATGTGGAAGAGAGTCTTAAGTAAAACCAAATGTAGGGCTAGTTTAAATCTCTGCATAATTATACCTCATAAAACCAGATGTAATTAATTCTATACTGTAGTAAAATTTATCGTCTTGTAAGGCAGTGTATTTCTGGCTTCCTCATCAGTCATTGTTGAATGCCCCCTTTGGCATCTTGAATGAAGGATTCATAGACCAAGAATGAAAAGGAAGAAATAGTGTCACCACGTCCAGATAGAGAGATATCAGCTCAAAGGGCATGTTGGGTTTTTTGTTCTTGTTTTTTTGTAGATTAATTTTGTGGCTGTAGATCAGTTAATTTGGGGAAGAAGGTGTGTATGTTGTAAATGATGTTTTTAGATGAGATTTAGACACAACCTGTTCTTAACGCCACAGGAGTGAAAAACAAGCCTTTTATATGGGTATATGTAGGAGGTTGATTAAGGGAAGACAAAGAAGAACATTTTGATAAGTTAGATGAGATTACAGATGTAGATAAACAAAGACATGTAAAAGACAAGGTCAGAACTGATTATAATGCGGTTAAATATATTCCTTCCTTTTTGGACCTCAACCAGGTAGAAAAAGGCACTGTGTATGTGAGAATATGTTTGTGAATGAAAACTAATTAGTGTGTGGTTAATTGTGTAGGGAAGAGTGGCCTCTGTCGGGGCTGAGGAAAATTAGGTAAAACCAGACTTCAGTATCAGCATTTCGCCCCATATTATTTACATGAGTGAACTGTAGCATGAAAAATAGTAATAATAAGATATAGTGAAAAGTGAACAGTAATTTCTCTGAGTGAAATGAATTATAGATGCGTTTCACTTTGTTTTTTATTCTTTTCTGTATTTTCCAAGTTATATTTAATTATCATGCATTATTATAAAAATTATTAAGCAAAGCATAAATAAGTATATAAGAGAAACCCAAGATTTAAGAGGCTTTTAAACAGCTCCTAGAGGAAAGTACTATGTCTATTATATAGAGTAAGTTTTAGTTAGATGATACTATAATTTTTAAGTTTGAAATTCAGGTATTGTTGTAATTTTAAATCATGGCATAAAAAATAGTTCATACACATACACACAAACACACAAAATTAGAAATAGGTTTACCTAAGGAGAATTTTAATCTATAGAAAAGAGAAAAAGAATGTATTAACTGTCTTCAGAGAGCTTACCAAGTCTAAATACCTTGATTACTTGATTCATTCTTTAATAATTTTTGCCCTGCCTTGTATCAGAAAAGATTTAAGACAGGTGACATATATAAATATAATACAGATAAGTAAAATAAATTTAGGAAGATCTAAGAAGCTGAGAGCTTATAAGAGAAGGTAAATAAGATGAAGGAGGGTTGAGGTTAGCATACAAAATTAATGTATTATGAATTAACTGCTGCAAAACTAAGTACCTTCCTTATGTATGCAATTATTTCCTTTTGTATATACTTAAATATGTAAGCTACCCTATTTTTTAATATCCTATCATAGCTATTAGATAGAAAATGGATTTGCATTGAAATCAACACTGAAATGCTTGTTAATGTGCATATGTTTATAGGCATTTTGTCATTTTATCTTCTGACAGAGAATATAATTATTCTGAGCACCTCAAACTCTTTGCTGTTGTGTAGAAAACATGTTACTGTGTTGGTAACAGTGAGATTACTCTTGCTATGGCCTTTTAGAAGTGTGTGTTTCACAATGAAAAGAGAAAATATTTTTCTCTCCCCTTCAGTTCAAGCGCAGGGTGTCGCCCTTGTTCTCGTCACACTATGTGCCTCCTCAGAATCAGCCCAAGTGCCACTCTCCAGGCGGTTCAGCCATGAAACATGAATCAGATGGAGTATTAGCTTACGTACTCCAGCTCATTCCAGTAAGGATCTCAGGGAGTTTACATGTTGTATAAAAAATACATATTTACCCAAATGAATTGAAAATTTATATCCTGACCCCCAAAAATGCACATGTATGTTTAGAGCGACTTTACTCATAAGTGCCACAACTTGGAAGCAACCAGAATGTCCTTCAGTAAGTAAATGGATAAATAAACTGGTATATCCAGACATGGAATATTACTCTGCCCTGAAAAGAAATGAGTGGTCTAGCTATGAATAACATGGAGCCACCTTAAATATGCATTACTAAGTCTGAAAGGGCTACATAATATATGATTCCAACTACCTGATAGGAAAAGGCAAAACTATGGAGATGGTAAAACGATCTACAGTTGTCAGAGATTGGGGGAGGGAGGGATGCATAAGCCAAGCACAGAGGATTTGAGGGCAGTGAAACTACTCTGTCTGGTACTGTAACGGTAGGCTTACATCATATATGTTTGTCAAAACCCATACAGTGTACAACACTAAGAGTTACATGTACGCTGATGTAAACTATGGCCCTGGTGGTGGTGATGTCAGTATACATCAGTTGTAACAAATGTACTGCTCTGGTGTGGATTCTGATAGGTGGGAGAGAATACATGTATTTGGTGGTGGGGTGTATCCAAGTGTTCTTTGTAGCTGCTCAGTTTTGCTCTGCAACTAAATCTTCTGTAAAAAATTAATGTATAAAAAAATATCTCAGGAAACTGAGGACAAATAAAAGGAAGACACAAGGAACGTTGTACATAAAAGAATCCCGCAGAGTGGCCTGATGTTGCTGTTTAGTTGCTCAGTCCGGTCGACTCTTTGCGACCCCATGGACTGCAGCACACTAGGCTTCTCTGTTCATCACCATCTCCCAGAATTTCTTCAAACTCATGTCCACTGAGTTAATGATGCCATCCATCCATCTCGTCCTCTGTTGTCCCCTTTTCCTCCTGCCCTCAATCTTTCCCAGCATCAGGGTCTTTTCCAATGAGTCAGCTCTTCCCATCAGGTGGCCTGAGTATTGGAACTTCAGCATCTGTCCTTCCAGTGAATATTAAGGGTTGATTTCTTTCAGGGTTCGTTCTCCTTGCAGTCCAAGGGACTCTCAAGAGTCTTCTCCAACACCACAGTTCAAAAGCATCAATTCTTTGGTGCTCAGCCTTCTTTATGGTCCAACTCTTAACATCCAAACTTGATTACTGGAAAAACCAGTAAGGCTCTAGAGCAGTCAATGAAAAAGAAATAGATGTTTTTCTGGAATTCTCTTGCTTTTTCTATGATCCAACAGATGTTGGCAATTTGATCTCTGGTTCCTCTGCCTTTTCTAAATCCAGCTTGTATATCTGGAAGTTCTCAGTTCACATACTGTCAAAGACTAGCTTGAACAATTTTATATGTCATCTCTTTGGCTTTGAGCCTCCAGGTTATCCAAGCAAAGAGGGAATCGTGAATCAGGTGGAGTAAGTGAACAAAACTCCTGTTGTTTGTGGAGTCCATTATGATGTTTATAATGGTTCTGCCCTGTGGGCCTCAGAATGTGGTTGTTGGCTAAAAGGATCCCACAATTATTCTTCTGCCTTCTTTTAAGTGAGAACATTCTCCCAGAGCATCTTTTTCCTTGAATATACAGCAATTGACTTCTGTACCTGGGAAATACATCTTTCAGATAATTCATAAGTTCAGATAATTCATACAATGCCATCTGATTAATATTAAGCTATAAGTTAATTCTAGTACATTGACCTGTTTACATTCATAAGTCATTTGCACATGATTATGTTATATACTTAGCCTTGAAGTGCAGCTTGTGGTATTATTTTTCTACGTTCTACTTAAGATGCCCACATTGCCAGAGAAGCCAACCTTTTTTCCTCAGAATTCCCTAGCTTTTGAGGGAGTCTGCTTAAGTTACTTAGCACCTTTCTACCACTTAGGAAATAACAAACGTAAAGGAAAAGGGCAAACTTCAAATTTGTACCTGGTCCTGTGATAGAGAAGCAAACACATTATATTAACCTAAAGAAATCAACACATTAAAAAGACAGAGATACATTAATTACTCTCTTGAATCCTGGTTTTCTTGGTTGACTTCAGAAACACCAATGGGACTTGCAAAAAATGCAGACCCCCTCAACCTCATTTCAGACCTGCTCAACCAGAATCTCTTCACTTGATCTGGCTTGATGTTTTTGATCAAACCTCCACTGAGAATGGTGACCAGCAAGATAGAGAACTGCTGCTGCTGCTAATAGTTAGTAAATATTTGCAGAAAGAGTCCTGTGTACTTAACTGCTCTCTTGGCTTCTACTCTGCAGCCAACCCCTCTGTTCATTTACTGGTACTTTTGGGAAAACCAGCTTAGGACAAAGTCCCACAGTACCATCAGGGAAATGTAGGATTCCTGTTTCTTTGCATGCCTTGGTGTGGGCAGAGAACACTTGGGGCTTTGGGATCAGACAGTCTTCTCCACCCTAAAGTTCCAAGTGAGTGATAACTCTCGGTGCCCTCTTGGGGAGTCCTTTCTGATGGACCCTGTCTCTGACATCTTCTCAGACATTGTTTAGAAACCTGAGTTAGGAGTCCCTGTGCTCAGCCTGAGAAGGACCACCTTCTAGTTTAAGATACCTCCTTATGTCTCCATCCCATCCTCTGATTATGGCTGCAGCTCCATCAGATTTGAACATGCTATCCCCCCCTCCTTATGCAACCTCTGTGGTGGTCCCCCATTGTCTAAACTGCTTGATGCTCTCCTCACCAGGTATCCAAAGTTTTTCCCTATTTCAGGAATATGCCTCATTCTCTCTTTTCCTTCCAGCCCCTCTGCCTAGCACACTCCAACTCA